AACCCCATATGTGCTTATGCTTCATCGATGGCGCTTGGAAGCCAGAGACAAAAGTAGGAGGAATGGGCTGGATTGTTAAAGATTCAGAAGGAATCACCAAGACAACAGGCTCGCATCGGTACTGTTTCGTTCCATCCGCTCTAGTGGCTGAAGCTCTAGACCTTAAGCTAGCTTTATCTGCAGCTCACACAAACGGTATCTCTACCATCCAAGTCTTTTCAGACCCAGAAATTCTCATCAACACCCTACGTTCGGGTGAGGTTGTGAACGAGATTGCAGGCATTTTACATGATGTTAGAGGCCTTGTATTTCTGTTCTCTTCCATCTCTTTTTATTTTATTTCCAGATCAGCAAACTTAGAAGCTGATTCGTTAGCCAAGGCGGCTTTGTCAAACTCTCACCCTTTTTGGGGTCCGTCTAGTTTGAAATGAAATTATAACTTGACCAACAAAAAAAAAGACCACCTTGCTCACTGTCTTTGTAGCGCATGAAGGTGTAGTGAAGGGCTTAATATGGTAAATTTTGTAAACCCAATAGTCTTCAAAGCTTAATCCAAATATGGTAGAGAGAATTATGTTATCTCTAAACAAATTTATTGCTCTGTCAACAAAGTTGTAACTTGAAACAAATAGTTGTGAGTGGGACCACGGTAATGAGTAGTGGCCATGCATGGGTAACAAATATAGAAAAAAGTGGAAAAGATAAATGTAAAAGAAAAGCATTGTGTCCTCGTAGTAGTACTACTACTAGCCACTAGCTAGCTTGGCTTGGCATAACATTTTCATGGACTTAAGTTAAAGATAATATTCTGTGTTAAGTCAATAATCGTAGATCGTATTTAGATTTTAGAGTATCCCCTGTTTATTAACTTTAACAAGCCGGTTCATAGATACTCTCTTGTAAATCATCAGATGTAGTTGGATTCAAGGACATAGTAAGACTTTGAAGTATGAAATGTAGTTGGCTCAGAACTAACTTATTGTTCTTTTGCAATAATTGCGATGGTAATGAATAATGGGTAAAAAGAAAGAAAAAAAAATGGTAATCTTTTTGACCACGCTTATTGATCTCTTTCTTTAAATGGAAGGTTTGGTAGAGAAAAAGATGGTTTTTGATCCTCAAAACTTAAATTTAGGGTTTATCTGAACTAATGTCTCGGCTTCTCTCCAAGCTCTCTCCCCTCGTAAGAAGCTTTCTTTTGTTCTGTCTTATTATATGGTTAATTTCTCGTTTTTTGCTTAGTTAGTACTTAGTAGTATATGGTTTCTCTGTTTTTTTGCTCTATGCTTAGAAGATTAGAGAATTCACTCTTAACTGGATTATATGGTCCTCTTACTTACTTGGCAGATTCACAAAAGGAACGTTCGTTCGTTTTCATCGTCCACCATCGGGCCGTGTGTTTCGATTTGTAGCCTTGTGGAACCCTCGCCGGAAGGGGGCCACATCGGAGAAGTACGGTTGTTCAACGTGGAAAGAAATGAGTTAGTTAGTATCCCCAATGAGCTCTATGATGCTCAATTGGTCGGAGCTTCCCATGGATGGGGTTTTTTCTCCAATAGACAAGATTGCTCTGTATATATCACCGACTTTCTGAACCCCTATACTTCCAAGACAAAACCAAACCTGATTCCTCTGCCTCCGTTTTCCTCTCTGGCCACTTGTCAAACCAAAGTCATGTGCAACGCGGCCATGTCCTCTTCTCCCGAGCCATATGACGAAGACTGGGTGGTTGGCATCAAGTTCTTGGGTAAGCAGCTGAGTCTGTGCAGGCCTCGTCGAGACTTGCGTTGGACCAACATCTCAACCCCTTTTGAGTCATGTGATTACTCAAGTCTAATGTATTCCAAGACAGACAAAAGACTCTAATTGCCTGCTCCTGGAAGCAACTACTTATGCTCATGGGATCTCAACTTCAAGGAAGACAAGAGCCCTAATTAAGTTCCATGAGTTGGTGTTGCACAACCTTCCGAGGATGCCACGTTCCCTCTGGAAGCTCTTGGATTCTTATTGCAGGGAGGATCACTGGGTGGAGTCACCTTCTGGCGAATGTTTCCTCGTCAAATGGTACACTTGG